CTCTCCCCCAAGCACTATCAGCAATATCTGCTGCCACCTGCCACCTACCTCCCCAGCACTATCAGCAGCACCCTCTGACACACTGCTCTGAATTCAGCAGTGCAGCATTGTTGCCACACCATCACATATAGCCATATTAGATGGACTTCACTGGCAGGAGCAACAGGTATTTGTGGAACTTTGCTGGGGAACTCAGAGAAAACTGTAAGTGCAGGTAGAATTATGGTGAAGTGCTGCAGCACATTTTTTTTTTAATGAAAGGCCATCGTTCTACTTTAAGTCTATGTGAGCATTTAAGATCCCATCAGACACCTTCAGCTGCTGGTCTATGGACACTGTTTTCCTGACCAATAGCTACTCTACTGACAAGGCAGCACTGACACCCGGCAGCACTGACAAAGTACATAGAAATGCCGACTCGTTTATGTACATGTTTATACCTCTATCCAATAAAACCCAGAGTCACACCAGACGCCCTCTTCTGTGTTCATATTTAGGGCTCTGCTGTATGGACAATTTCTTATTACCGTCTCGCAATTGGTAATAGTATAATTGGTGTGAATAGAACGTGTTATGGGGTAACCAGGAAACGGGAGAAAACAAGAACTTAATCAAATTGTGATATGAAATTAACTCGGGATTGCTGTTCTGCCTTATGTATTCTATTGGATTTCAGAGTGCAGAGCTCACCTTTTGCTTGTTGCCATATTGCTTTTGCCAGTATAATGCACTTTGTCCTTCAGTTATGAATACAGATGTCACCTGCACGCTGAGACTCTCAAGTCAGTGCAAATCCATTTATTAATAGATGCCACTCAGAATGTCAAGCGCTTTCGGGGCCACACAGGGTCCCCTTCATCAGGCTCAGGCTCAGTCTAATGTCTACTCTGAGTCTGATGAAGGGGACCCTGTGAGGCCCCGAAAGCGCTTGACATTCTGAGTGGCATCTATTAAAAAATGGATTTGCACTGACTTGAGAGTCTCGGCGTGCTGGTGACATCTGTATTCAAAGTTGTTCCATGTGCTGCGCCATCCGTGGTCATTTCAAGCACCAATCATTGTCTTAGGATTTCCTATAAGGAGTGGTACAGGATCTATGGACATTTGTCCTTCAGTTATTCTCTCTAGCTGCTTTACTAAGTAACATCTGACATGACTGAATGCTTTTCTTTTTCTAGGTGCGTGAAGGTGTCTTCATTCGGAGCACTCTCTCACTTTACTAAGGAGAACAAAGTAAGCTTACAACCTGCTATGTCCCCTGGTTGATTTTGGTGCCAATGCCCAATCATACAGCAATTTACTTTAAAGCGGACCCATCCATATCTTTAATAGTCTGCATACATCAATGACCAAAAAATCTGTACCTTTTATCATTACAAAGCAGTCATTGAGCTCCAGTCAAGTGATTGTACCCAGACATGAAAGTAGAATTGGGCTAGGTTCACACCTCAGCGACACCAGGGACGCACGATCGTGTGGTGGTGCACACAGCGTTTGCCGCATGGCTCTATTAATTTCAGTGGGGTGACATCCACGCGGCAATCGCTGTAAAAAGGTACATGTACCTTTTTTTTTGCGACCCGTGATGCGCAGCTTTTTTAGCCGCGATCAAGTCAAATTGCACGGGCGGAAACGCGGCAGGAAACCGCATGATCTGCCCGGCGTGACTGGGGTGCCATTAGAAAATAATGGCATCCACAGCACGGTAGGCTGCGGTGGGCGACTCCGTGACCACGCTGCAATCTGCGTGGTTTTGTGTACGAATGCCACGCGGTCAGGAGTCGCCCAGGTGTGAACCCAACCTTAGTCTGCTAGAGGTGGGTAGGTGGATTTCCTACGTCTGCCCTCATTCCGTGATCACATACTAGGACTATTGTACATCTAGACCTTTCTGCACATGGGACAACATGTGTACACACAGCCAGGACTGTCCATACCCTATATGCCACCTAAAGCTATAGAGCTGGATTGGGATTGGGCATGCTGCTGAAAGTGCTTCTCCGGGGGGGACTTTGCTGATTAGCGGTGCTGTCAGCGGCTCTCTGTCTGGTCCCGCCCAGCTCACCGATGTCACTGGTTGCCAGGAGCTCGGCGGGATGCCAGCCAGAGAATCCCGCTCAACCTGTCAACCAACGACATCAATGAGCTCGGCAGGAAGCTGAACAGAGCGTCACAGGTTGCTAAGAGCTCTTAGCAACCTGGGACGCTGTGGCTGCCCCCCTACACATGCCACCCCCCCAATAAGATGCCACCTGAGGCTACCACCTCAGGCTGCCTCATTATAAGGATGGCCCTGCACACAGCTGAGCACATGGAGGCTTGTGCAGATGCAGTAGGATTTTTTTTTTGGGTGTGAACCTCTAAGTGTGCCCCAGGGCTGGTTCTATCTATGTTTATGCCGTCATTGGATATCTCGCTCTCTTACTATTGACCTGAAGCCACTTTGGCATTCTTCCTGCCTTTTGATCACTGCGACAGTCAATCATAATGAAAAAGATCTTTGTGTATAAAACTTGTTTCTTTATGTAGCTCAATTCTCCCTCTTGTGAGACCGGTTTTATTAGTGTAGGTGTTCTTGTTTTATTTTTGGATCTGTAAAACAAAAAATAGTTATGACTTTGTATGTATGAAATGAAATGTAATCATGTATTTCATTTAAGATTTTTGTCAATATTTCCTCAAGCAATTTATAGAGGAAAAAGGTGTTCTGCTTATCAATGCATGGTACCACAAATAAGCCCTGTAGGCAGGGCCGCATTTACTCTATCTGCTGCCCCAAGGCCAGGTTCCTTACCGCAATCCACCCCTTCAATTGAGAATGGCAACCAGATGGTGGGGGTGGCAGGGTTAGTTTTATTTTTTTTTACATTTATTTATTTTTTATCACTTTTTCTATTTTTAAAATGTATTTTTTTAAAACTTTTTTACATTTTTATTTATCTGATCTTTTTTTTTACATTTTTATTTTTTTATCTAATTATTTTTTACTTAGTTTTTATAATTTCTTTTTTTTATAATTTTTTTCTTATTTTTTTTCTTTTTAATCACTTTTTTCTTTTTAATTATTTTTTATTTATTTTATTTTATTTTTATTTATTCATTTTTCACTTAACTTTATTGCTATCACACAAGCCCCTGTGTGATAGCATTTGGAGAGATTAGTGCCATTATTCTCTTTTCAAATCAGTGCTTCCACTTCTGACTGCTGGGATCCAGAAGCCGCACAATGGGCACCAGGGTTCTAAGTCCATAGATATAAAGGGATGGTTAAAGGTTTTCTGACCGCCCTGCAACATGTATCTCTGTTGGCTCTTCCATAAACACGAATTTATGGCTAGAGGTAGGAGGAACGGGAGAAAATTAGCCTCTGGTGACAGCTTATTAGGAAGAACAAAAAACAAATGTTTATGAAATGATAGATTGTTCCTTCCAAGAGTGATTGGCTATCGGGTATCTGCCAGACCCAGAGGTTTGAGGTCGCCACTCAACCTGGTCCAAAACGGCCATTACCTTCAGTGCAATTTAGGCATTACCCGATCTTTCTCTTTCTCTTCTAAGCTAATAATAAAGCAATACATACACAACAGCCACTTGTATTTTTAATTAACTCAGTCCCTTTTTTAGCCCAGTGGGGCCAGCAGCCGCTGCCTGGACTGTGCGGTGGAGAACTCTTGCCCATACTCAGCAAAGAAGATTTACCTCAACAAGGTGAGTACAGAGCGGCATCTGTGATAGTGTTCTTTAAAAGATACTGCTGCGAGGTACATGCCTGGAGGCGGCCACTGGGGACCTGCTGAAATTTCTACTTGCTTTCAATGTTTCTTAGTCACTGACCCACAACAAGCATGCAGATTTTGAAGCCAGATAGAGGTTGGAGCTCCTGATCTGCACACTTGTTCTTGGTCAGTGACCCAGAAAGTATTGAAGCCATTGGAACAGTCCAACAATTGGATCTGCCACGCAACTAGAGAGGTCAACAGTGGCAGCTTTTGTAATTCTGCCAGAAGTTCATGGTATGCTCTCCTGATGATCATATTTGCCGTTCACCAACGTGTTACAAATAATAGAGTAATGTGGAACAGTAGTCTAAGGCTAGGTTCAGAACTGCGCGACACCCGGGACAGTGCGATAGTGTGCTAGTGCACACATCGGTTCTCACGTGGCCCCATTGATTTCAATGGGGTTACATCTGCGATCGTGTTCAATTGCACAGACGGAATCACGGCAGGAATTCGTGTGATCCGCCTGGCGCGACTGGGATGCCATTAGCAAATAATGGCACCGCCAGTGCGATCGGCTGCAGTGGGCGACTGCGTGGTTTTGTGCACAATTGCCACGCGGCCAGGAGTCGCCCAGGTATGAACCTAGCCTAAAGCAACCAATCAGAACCCTGGCTGTCCTTTGTTACTACATTAACTGTCCATGCTTAGTCACATTGCCTTTTTTATTGATGGTCACCATCAATAAATGATGAAGAAGGACCATGTAGAGGCAGGTCTAGTGGCCTCCTGTTACATATCCAGGTACTCATGGCTCCATTGTCTATGGCCACTATAGGTCAGACAGACACTTCAGTTAGTGCTCTTGCTACATGACTGCTGGGATAAAAATAACTACATAAGAAGTCACCTAGAAATTGTAATGTTTTCGGTAACACTCAGCAAACTGATAGAACTACTTTGAGAAACAGGAACAAAAGAACACGCTGACTATGTTACTTCTACTGATATACAACATGCGATTTTAACAACCACAGATGTGCATTTAATAATAACCTTTAAAAAATCTTTATCACATATTAAGACAATTTACATTGAGCTAATTACTATCCATTTTATATCTAAAAGAAAGAACTCCTAAAGCTGAATTTTCATATAAGCCGCACGAGGTGACGCCCACCCTGGTGCCACCGCTGAACCCAAGAACAAAATAAGATAAATTGCGGTTTATTAGTCCTTCAAATTGGTGGCTGTATTAGTTTTCTTTTTTCAGGCTGCAACCAATTTCATTAAGTACAGAACATACCAGATGATCTTGCCAAAAATGCTGTGTCCTTGTCACTTCCTGTGAGCTGGACTGCGAGCAGTATGTTTATTCTGTTAACTAAAAATCATCCAAGTAACAGAGATTAAAAGAGAGCGATGGGGTAACCTTTTTATCCCATAGTGCTCTTAAGGGTCACGGGAGGATATATACTAGCCCTCCGATGACCCAAAGCTCAGTATATAGTGATCTATTGCCCGCTATAAACTGAGAGCGCTGCAACCAGGACGGATCCCGACAATACTGTTGAGATCCACCCAGCTGCCTGATTGACAGCGGGCTCTGCCTATCTAGAGACAGAGCCAGCTGTGCCCCCACCCTCCATGCGTCCTTTCCACCAGTCAGCACTGGAGGATCAGAGATGGGAGGTTGGGAATCCCTTCAGGGAGCCGTGACTGACAGTCACCGCTCTCTGCAGGGAGATGATTGGAAAGTGAGTGAGCGACGGTATGTGTTCGCTCACTTCCCGATCTATAGTGCCGACCTGTGACAGTTTTAATATCACACGTTGGCTCTAGCTATGAGGATGAGTATAAATCACTCACTTCTTAGTTCGTCTTTGACATAGGCAGATACATTTGAAGTCCAGCTTAGGTGACAACCATGACTCCCTCCATAGATTCAGTGAAGTGTGGACAGGAAGTGTGTTATTCACAGTATTACCAGGTGGTATAAATGAAGGGAAAAAGCCTAAAAAATTTAACTAATGCAGGCATCACTTCTAAGGATTGGTGAGCTGCAATATAAATAAAAATTGTTTTTGGGTGGACATACACAATAATCACAAGGAATCACCCTGATGGCAGTTTCTTTTTGCATAGACCAATGATATAATAAAACGACATGCGATCAAAGTAACCCTGTGGACCAACCACAGGAGCTTGTAGAGATTTACATAACAAGCACTCGCTGGATTTAGGGGTTCCCAGGGGCTTAGCAAGGTGACCCAGCACACACTCTGGTACCTCTATGCGCCCGCTTATCATTCCTGCTGGCTGGTTAGCACTTTTAAACCGATCACAGGGTCACATTTAATAGCAAGTGTATATACACTGTTGAAAGAAATAAATCGAGTATGTGCTAAACAACATTAACATGTTAAATGAGTATGTGCTAAATTCCTGCCATGTAATGCCAATATTTATAAATCAACATAGGAAATATGTTAATACATACTGAAGAAACTACATGTACATCTGTCATTGTGGATCCGGGAGAGCCAAAGTCCCGTTTGCAAAGGACACTGTTAAAGGGCTGGCTATTAGGGAAATCTATTGTGCCGAGTCGGCTGCTTAGAAGATTGCCATCTGTTCATTAAAGCCAGGCCAAACCTCCAGCAGAAGTGGAGGAGACAGAATGGGCCCAAGAAGTGGCATTGAATTGGAGAGAAAAAGAGGCAGAGGCTTGCGCGGCCGCATACAATGGGCCCGTGCCGTCTGGCAGGAGCCAAACACAAGGCACTTACAATGCATCTGCTCAGCAGACGGCAAGGGCGCTCAGCTCCCCTTTCTTCCCTTTTCTCTTTGTAGCAGAGAAAATCTGACATCTGCTTAGGCTGTGCGACAGGGAAAATAGGAGATAAATGTGTTGGCCTGCTTGTGTTACAATCTGGCTTTTTTTTTCTTAATGCCTGTATTTGGCTAAGGCCGGCCACAAACATTAAAGGTGGTCAGAACTGCGTTCATGGTCTGCCCATCGAGCGGCCTTCATTTTAACTGATCGGTTCATAGTCATACATGCTTGCGCGTCTATGTCGTCAGCAGCCCACTTCCCTCCGGGCACCAGCTTTATCTCAGAGGAGCAGAAGGACCCGAACCAAAATTTTCTGTAGCTTACATGTCTAATTGTGCATGCATGTCTTCAAGCAGAATTCTTGGGAAATGTTTTATTAACCCTTGCAGTGGGGCTACCCCTGCACTGCAAGGGTTAAGTGCTCGTTTTGGTCTGTAACTCCGCTCCCTCCGGCCTGTCTCCTCCTGTGCTGGAATGTCACTCGGCGTCCTCACGTCCTATGCACTGTGTATAGAATGTGATGACTCGTGGACCTTGGACCATTCCATTGCCAAGTGCAGTCCCAACACATAGACATGGCAATATGCCTTACTTCTTATTGTTCCAGTTCACACCAATGGCCTGTATTTGGTGTGTGCTGAAAAAAATTGAGCAGGTTGCGTTTTTATGCAGCACAGTAAATTTCAACGTGCTACATTGTATTACAATGTGATTGTGGTGCATAGAGTTAAAATTAAATTGTGTGACATTTTAATACAGTTGAAAAAAAGAGAAAAAAACTAAACAGTAACAACGCGTTGCACCGTCCCTACACAATACACACCAGCAGAGTATACGGAACATGACATTATTATTTTTATTATTATACAGGATTTATATAGCGCCAGCAGTTTGCGCAGCACTTTACAATATAGGGAAGACATTACAATCACAATACAAATCAAGACAAGATGGTAAGGAGGGCCCTGCCCCTGAGGGCTTACAATCTAAGAGGGAGGGGCAAGTGATACATGAGGAGGTAGCTGTGTGGGGATGAATTGTTTGACAACATGATGGTTGAGTGTTTGGGTTGAGGTGGAATAGGCTTGTGCCCACTAGTGTGAATGGACCCTAATTGCTCAGCTACTCTGCCTTTAATCTACACATGTCTGCATTCAATACAAAACTTCAATACAATACAAAAATATAAAAGAGTGGAAAAGTGAACTTACTGTGTAAAAGTAATTTTAATATTTACTTTAAGGTAGACTGTAATAACTCGAAATCTGCGATCCCCTTGCTTTGTGCTTTTCCAGGGACACTTTGGCTGGCCTGTATCGGTCGTGTGCAGCAATGGCGTCTATGACATTGAATCACTGACTGAAGCTTTAAGGACAGGTCCTTACGGACGGTGTGTTTACGACTGTGACAATGATGTTTGCACTAATCAGGTAAATGCAGAGATAATACAATGACCTCTTTAATAATGGGTTATATACTATTGGGTATTGTGGGAGAAATACACTTCACATATAATGAATTAGTCCTGCGTTCCTACATGTGTCTTTTTTTGTTGTTTTTGGAACCAATGCTTTGTGGAAATGATGTAAGCAGCAGTAGGTGACCACTTCGTTAGCGCTCTTGCCTTGCAGCCCTGATTATTGGGTCTGCATGGGGTTTGTATATTTTCCTTGTATCTTCCTACGGGTGAAAGGATGGGGGCCGATATGTACAGATTTGTTACTGAAGGAGGATGAGCCGGACATCTAATCTGCCTCATTGCGGGCCCATCCAATCCTGTTAGAAATTCGGCTAATCCGAACTTGCTGGCGAACCCCACTTTAATATAGGAAGTATCTTTCATAATGGCATGTAACAGAAAACAGTCACTCCTGTACAAAGATGAGCATAGAAAAAAATATTATATATTATTTTTATTACTATTATTACTTATTATTATTAATAACATTTGTCAGCTCTACAGACAACTATCTATTTCAAAGTTTTGATTGGTTTCCATCTTATACATAGACAGTTTGTTGCATTCACATGTCATATGTAGCTCAGTAACATATCAGATAGGCCTATGATCACAACACTATATCCCCTCTCCCCGTCTTAACACATCATTCAAGCTAACAATGGGGTAATGTAGCGATAGTTTCCATTTTATCATTCGGATACCATTATTAAATACTGAGGTTACATATGATACAATCCCTTGGTGGGCGCGTTCAAATCATGCACCAAGGGTCCAAAACGAAAACATGAGTTTATAGAAAAAATATAGGGATAGGGACTCCTGAGCTCCGGATTTCTTAGTCAGTATTTAACCTGGGTTGTCTGACGAAGTGCAGGGGAAGTTCGAAATTCCTAGATATGACAGCCATGGGTCCCATACCGCTTGGAAGTTTGAGTATCTATCCTGTAAAATGCCAGACAGCTATCTAAAGGACAATTACTATAATAAATATTGTATTCTACCAACAGGTTGTGAACATGGAGTTTGAAGGTGGTAAGACTGCTGCCTTTACAATGATGGGTTTTACCTATGCGCTCGGAGTAAGGAATACCACCATCTTTGGGACCAAGGTAATTTTGAATGTAAAGACAATGGCTATGCTTCTGTGAAGTTCTGAGCCATATCCATTGGAACCACCAGATAACAACACTCATGTGAGGATTGGGCTGTGTAGAACGAACCTGGGGGGTGATAATAAGCATTTCCATCCTTCAGAGGCTCTCATTAAAGCAGAACTATAGTCCAGGGTGGCAGGTGGTCCATATCTATAATGTACACAGCATAGTGGCACGTTATGGCACACTTACCTTGCAAGTTTGCCCTTCTCCAGTGCTGACTGATCCAAACTGTCAGTCACCACTCCATCCCCCGGTGCTGCCATCTTCTCTGGTACTAGTTTTGGGTTCCCAATCATCCTCTTCAGTCTTTGAGTGGCCTCTGATGATGTAACACCTATGCATGGGCACAGGAGTTCTGCGGTCCCCGACATCCGAAGCTGGGGTGTACATTGCACTTGCACCACAGGAGGTGTATACTAAATTAAAAACTACTAGAAGCAAGAAGAGTTTTTTTGGCAGGAGAGACACACTTTTTAGCAGTGTCTCTCCTGTGTCTCTTCACATTTAAACATAAAGAAACATAGGGAGATTTTTCAACCTGCTGGAAGATCTATGTGACCTGGCCAAAAAAGGAAGGAAGTCCTGCACTGTGGGTGACAGATGGGTCCAAAGGCTACAGATGTCATCGCTCCCCATGGTTCCCATGTAAAAATCTCGTCCACGTCCATGGCTGCCCATGGTTCCCAAGTAGGAATCTCCATATCCGTGGCTGCCCATGGTTCCCAAGTAGGAATCTCCAGATCCATGTCCATCTCAATCACATACCTTAATGTGCACAGAGAGTTTGGAATTTAAGTCATACTCTTTATGGGCTTCCTTAGGTCCCTTTTATCTGACTTTTGAGCTTGGTGAAGGGTGTCTAAGGATTCCCGAAAGCTTTCATCTTTAATAAAGGGTCCCAGTTAAACTCCAAACTTTCTGCACTAATTGATGGCTATCACGGTCGGTATAATACTCTACTGTGCCTTAACATACTGTTTCAGTTGGAGAAGGACCATGTATGAATAACCTAGATAGGGACCCATACATTTTGTTGGCAATTCAAATAACAAATCAGTCCCTCTAATCTCCAGAGAGGTGTTTTATTCTTGATAAAGCTCTGCTGCCAGGATTCCTGCCCCCTCTGTATTCCGAAGACTGCATGTTCTCCCTGCCTACTTTAATCTTGTTTATATTCTGGAAAAGGTTCCAGCCCTGACATTGCTAACCTCTCCTTATCTCATTATTGTGCCAGCCCGGCTGATTTGCTTTACAAAAGGCCTATTCTCCTAGCAGCTGGACTCCTGTGTGATGTGGCTGCAGGGCTTCCAGCTGTCAGATTCCTTCATGAGATAGGGATTGATGGAAAGCACACACTTTGCTGCTGCACGCAGGCTTCATCCATTTAGCCAAAGAGAGGAAGATGGAAGATCCAGTTTGGATTTCTGTGGGACCCTTGCATAGCGGGCACGGGGTGATCGTTTGATATGTGTCAGGCAATAGAAGTAATGAAATCATATGTGTAGCCGTATCATTAAAATATATTCATATAACAGAATAATGCCAGATGGCCAATTTGATCATCGGTGGCACATACATTATCATCTTAGGGCTTATCTTCAGGAAAGAAAACATCTATGCAGTGGGGCTCAGTAATGTCTAGGGGTATTGTGCAAAGGACTTTTCCTTAACTGATCCCCGCTCCTGTAAGCTCCAAGACCGACTACTGCAGCCTCCCCCCCCCCCCCGCGCGCCGACCA